AGCGAGAAGTTCATTTTCATTGGTTACGACAACAACTCGAAAGACTACAAATTATACAATCCAAATACAGGGAAAACAACCATCAACAGAGATGTCATATTCGATGAAAACGAAGAATGGGACTGAGGACTACATGCTGAGGACTACAACTTTTTCCCATACTTTCAAGAAGAAGACGTAGAGCAGCCAAGGATCGAGGAAGAAAGAGAAGAGCCTACTACTCCACAAACAACAAGTAATCAAAGCAACTCATCGTCATCAACTTCACAAGAAAATTCAAGTGAAAGAGAACCACGCTTCAGAAGATTAGAAGATTTTTATGAGGTAACTATGAATCAAGATAATCTTACTCTTTTTTGTCTCTTTGCTGACTGTGAACCCATGGACTTCCAAGAAGCCATACAAAGCAAGAAGTGGAAAGATGGAATGGATGAAGAAATTAAGACGATTGAGAAAAACGACACATGGGAGCTAGCTTCACTTCCTAAAGGGCATAAGGCAATTGATGTGAAGTGAGTGTATAAAGCGAAGAAGAATTCTAAAGGAGAAGTTGAAAGATACAAGACAAGATTGGTGGCAAAAGGCTACAGTCAAATAGCAGGCATCGACTATGATGAGGTATTTTCCCCTGTTGCTCGATTAGAAACTATTAGACTAATCGTCTCTTTGGCAGCTCAAAATAAGTGGAGAATACATCAAATTGATGTAAAATCTGCCTTCTTGAATGAAATACTTGAAGAAAAAGTCTACATTAAGCAGCCACCAAGATATGAAATCAAAGGGCAAGAAGACAAGGTTCTAAAGCTAAAAAAGGCTCCCCACGGGCAAAAGCAAGCACCAAGTGCATGGAATAGCCGAATAGACAAGTATCTGCAAAAGAAAGGCTTCATGAAGTGTCCTTATGAACATGCTCTTTACATCAAGAATGAGGTTGAAAATGTCTTGATTGTTTGTTTATATGTTGATGACTTGATCTTCACCGGAAACAATCCAAGCATGTTTGAAAAGTTCAAAGAAGCGATGACAAAGGAGTTCGAAATGACAGATATTGGGCTCATGGCATTCTACCTTGGCATTGAAGTCAAACAAACTGAAGATGGGATCTTCATCTCTCAAGAAGGTTATGCAAGAGAGGTATTGAAGAAATTCAAGATGGAGAATAGCCAACCTATAAAAACTCCTTTAGAATGTGGAGTCAAGCTATCACAGTTTGATAAGGGAAAAAGAATTGATCCAACGTTTTTCAAGAGTTTGGTTGGAAGTTTGCGCTACTTAACATGCACAAGACCTGATATTCTTTATGCTGTTAGTTGCTACATGGAGACTCCAATTGTTACCCACCTGAAAACTGCTAAAAGAATTATGCGCTATATCAAAGGTACAATTGATTTTGGCTTATTTTACTCATCATCCAACAATTTCAAGCTTGTAGGATATAGCGACAGTGATTGGGCTGGAGACATCGATGATAGAAAGAGCACTACAGGGTTCGTGTTCTTCATAGGAGACACTGCTTTCACTTGGATGTCAAAGAAACAACCAATTGTCACTCTTTCTACTTGCGAAGCAGAGTACGTGGCTGCAACCTCATGTGTTTGTCATGCAATTTGGCTTCGAAATCTATTAAAGGAGTTAAGTTTACCACAAGAAGAGGCGATTAAGATTTGTATTGATAACAAGTCTGCAATCGCGCTAGCAAAGAATCCTGTTTTCCACGATAGAAGCAAGCACATTGATATGCGTTATCACTACATCAGAGAATGCATCGAAAGAAGGGAGATACAAGCGCAGTACGTGAAGTCTCAAGACCAAGTTGCAGATATTTTTACCAAGCCACTGAAGAGTGAAGACTTTATTAAAATAAGAAGTTTGATCGGAGTCACAAAATCAAGTTTAAGAGGGGGTGTTAAAATATAAACTTGGTTTTAGTTGTTTAAATAAAGCTTAATTTCTAAAATAATTTCTATAAGCTTGTGGTAGGTATGAAATTATTGTGTAGTAGATGTGGTAGGTGTTGAATTATTGTGTGGTAGGTGTGGAATTATTTGTAACCATTGGATTGTAATTATGGTGGCACAATCCTAGCCATTAATTTAGGAGGTGCCACTAGTATAAATAAGGGTGGAGTCTTTGAGTTTGGATTAAGTCAAGTAAAGGTGATAAATAAGAGTGAAGCTTCTTCCATAAGTTGTGTTTTTAGCCTTTGTCATTTCCTAAAAGCTTTTCCATTCCAACACGATCATCTTCTGAAGCCAAATAGATAGCTCTTGCAGCAGCCACCATGGAACTCATATGTCTTCGAAGACTACTTCAAGACCTAGGGCTCTTAATAGACTAACCTATGCTCTTTCTCGACACAACGCATCCACCTTTGCATTCGCCAACAATCCAGTATTCAAATGACACACTAACACATAAACACAGAATTCCACTTCATTATGGATTCCATATCCACAAAAACTCTTCAAATCAGACACATTACAATGGAGGAGCAGCTAGCTGACATTTTCACTAAAAGTCTCTCCAGTTCAAGGTTCTTCAAAAGGAGTAACGAACTCAGAATTCATTCCATGGATTCCTGAGTTTGAGGAAGCGTGACAAATTACATTTCGTTGTAACCTCCACATGGCAGTTAGGTCTCCACTATCTTGACATAACAAACACACCAGTCGCCCATAACCATCAGGCATTCTCATAGCAGCTACTACAAATACAGCATATATGTACGTGTACTGCAACACGGAAAATTCAGGAGCATCATTGTAAGGAATACAATCATATATTTTCGAGCTAAGTGGTAGATTATCAGTTTTTCCATCCTGCTGATTACTTCATCACTTTATTGTAGTTCGATGATTTTTCTGTCCATTTCTTCCATGATAAGGTCTTGAACACCCCCTTTGAGGATTTCTCCTTGTGGGCATGATAAATCTTTTCACTTTAGGGATCCGGTGAAGGTGAAGATTTTGGATCTGAGATTTTCTGAAAGCCGAGGGTTTAGTGCAGGATGTAGGGATGACTTCTTGATGAAGGTAGTTGGTTAGAGTTTGGGTTTCAAAGAAAGTCTAAGGGTTTAATGGCTCTTAAGGCAAAAAATCTGAGGGAAATCCCTTATTAATTATATTGTTTACAAGTTCTAACAATGTAAGCAATCATTCGAATTCTCATTTCCTTGCATCTATTAATCTTTTCTCATTTTCATTTTTCTATTACATTTTCTTGTTTATTTTGAAGAATGACTTGCATCAATAGAAATGTCATAAAAAATAATTTGGCGGTACAAGAGATGTGTGGAGGTGACTAGAGATAACGGTTGAGGACTACCTCCACCAAACCTCATTCATGTGGCAACAAAAAATTAAATCATACAACAATAAACATGATTCGTATTGAAAAGTTTCAAGAATGATTAGATAAAGTGTTCTTTCAAAGTGAAAATTGCTTCCAAAATCTTTTCATGAAATCATTATTTCGAATGAAGCTGTAGAAAATAATACCAGATTTATAGATCTTCAACTGAACATTTCATTAGATTAATTACCTTGGCCCTGAGGTACATATTGTCATTTTGAAGTTCCACTTCCTGCATTTACAAAAAAGATAATGGCTCTCACAAGTTTAGTTATCGTATATTGTGACCAAGATCTAAATCTTAGTAGATATAGCATAAGGTCTTACTCGTTTCTGCATGTACTCAATTTCTGCAAAGAGCAGCTCATGCTGACAAGAAGATAATGGAATTATATATTAGTGTTGTCTCAAAGTTGAACAGAGACAATAAATTAGCGAACATAGGAGTCAACATTTTTCTCTATTTGTCTAGTCTCTAAGAGTGGCCCTTTTGGGATTACTTTAAATTCTGTTTTATTTTTCATTTTTAGTTAATTTAATTTATGTTTTGATTTGAACAAAAATATATTTGATTGAAGTAGTGTTTTAAAAACATTCAAAACATCTTGTACATGTTTCAAATGTTTTTGCAAACAAGTTAAAATATTTATTAAAAAAAAATAAATTATATAAAAGTTATATGAATCCAATGTATTTTTTGAAATGAAAGAAACAATATATAAAAATTAAATCAATCCAAATCCTGAAAGTTTTGTTGTGACTTAAAGTTCTATTGTTTTGGCAAAGATGTATTAGTGATATTTCTTAAGTATTTTACTGCAATTATATAACAGAGTATCCATTCGCCTTTGATGTTCTTACCTTCTTTGATCTGACCCTTGTGATGCCTCTTTCAAGTCGGTTTTCAAGTTGCTTCAACTCCTTTAAATTAAGAGAACTCAAACCATCCCCCATTAAATGCCTGAAACAACATGCCACAATATTTTATTATTTTACAAGTCTATTTTGTTATTGCAGACAGCATTAAGTATGTAAGAATCAGGTCAGGTTTTTTAAACCCAACTTTACCTGTTTGAATTTTGCAAAAGCTGAATTTGGTGGCGCATTTTCGCTGATTCCTGTTGATAGTATTGCTGCATTCACCAAATCAAATCAATGGAAATCACATTAGAAACCTCAATTTTGTTATATTCAGCTATAACATTTAATATGTGGTATATTCTTGAAGGAGTGCTTCATTAATTAATAGGTGGCGAAAGTTTACTTGCATTTAAAATAAAAATTATAGTATATCTTAGAATTTAATGAAATAAAATATTCCCTTGCATTAGAGATCATGTGATTCCAGAAAGCTGTGAAGAGCCGTATATAATGTTTTTATTCTGAAATAAATACACAATTAATTTTTAATAAAACCTCTTCTATAGGATTTGCTTAACATTAAAGTCTACAAATGTGTCCTTCAAGGCAACATAAGAGTACTTATAATATCATTTCAATAAGCAACAATGTTATTGCACATGAGACCTGTACGTATGTCAAATGGATGTTTACAAAACTTATGAAATTGCATATATAGTGACTTGAATATAATAAGAACTAAGAAATTTCATATAATATTATATTTTTTATTTATAGATAATAAATAGAATAGTAAGAAGATAAATGTAAAGAAACAATGAGAATCTTGAAAAGACTTAATCCCATTAAGTGGGGTCGGCTACATGAATCATTTTTCTCCATTGCATCCTATTTAGTGTCATATTTTCATTTAGTTCTAATAAATTTAGATCATTTTTTATACAATAAGCCCATCTTCCTAGGTCTACCTTTGCCTTTCTTAATATAAGTCGAATCTAAAACATCTACTCTCCTAATCGGATCATCAGATGGTCTACGCTTAATGTGACCAAACCATCTAAGTCGACTTTCTCTAATTTTGTCCGTCACATATAAGTTGAATCTTCAAAAGGTTGAATCTTCAAAAGTTTGAAATTTTATATAAATTATAGCTCCTTTAAATTTATGCACATTATTTTCTTATTATTTAATAAGATCATATTGAATATATTCAGACCATAATAATGATTAATAAAATTAATTGGATATTTAAAAAGTTTTCACATAGTACATCCAAATTGAATGTTTAAACTAATTTATTCTATACCTTAACTTTTTGTTTAAATTTCTTGTTGCAGGAAAAACTCTCTAATAAAATGAACGGCTAAATGAGGATATAGACAGAAAAAAAGAACATGCCGAAGGATATGCAAAAATGATTGATACATTATAGATATAAAATTATTTACTAAGTTATTGTATAGCTCAATTTGTAGTTTAAATTTTTTCTTACAAGAAATACTCCAATAAATTGAATGGCTAAGAGAAGTGAGAATATATACAGAGAAAAAAGAAGCAAATAAAAATAGGTGACAAGAAAATGGTTGTAGATTGTTTTAAAGTTCTCTATTAAAAATATTATTGTGTGGAACTTGATTTAAATGCATGAGTTAGATATAAACTGTACGCTACAGGAAATAAGCTAATTAGTATCAGATTAATTGGTTCTAAAATAGCTGAGGGGTAGACATTACAACTTTTGTGTGCCAGTTTTTTCATTTAACTTAAAAAATCTGCAAATAAGCTATTTACAAAACGCGTAAACCAAACAGTTAAACAACTTATCCAAAATAGAAGCAGATTGGTCATTTATCCAGAATCAGCTGTTTTCCAAACACACAAACAAAACAATCAGTCAGCTTATCCAGATCAGCTGGTCATCAGCAGATTATCAGGATAAGCTGCTTATCAGCATAAGTTGGATAAGTTACAGCTGCCCCAAACTTAGTGTCAAACATTTTTCGACGCAGCTTTTCGCATCGGATTTAAGTTTGTTTAGCTTCGTAAATAGTCAGAGATAGTTTGTGCGTCGAATAATTTCGAAATATTTGCATCAACTTTAGCATCGCCGATAAGTTACATCAAATATTTTGTGTTGATCTTAGCATCATCAAGTTGTCAACGAAAAATTTCGCTTAATAGGGTCGAATCAACCGTTGTAATATTTACTACTAATTTATTTACGTCGG